GAAAGCCCTTGTGACATCCCACTATCTCAGCGGTGGGCTAAAATTGAGGGCTTGTCTGTTGGGCTGCTCCATCTATTGGTGGGGAGCGGCACCTGCTGGAAACCGGGTCCAGCGTCCCCCCATTCCTACCCGGTGTTTCATCATGTTGATTCGTTTTTCTTTCTTTGGCACCGGGTGGGAGTAGGATCGATGACCTCCCCCTCCTTGATTAGGGTTGATTGGCTCTCAACTCTCATGCCCTCAACTCTTAATCATGTGACCTCATGAGGGGTTTGATGATTACGTTTTGATTTTACATTTTCATTTTCGGTTGATTCCTTGATTGGGTAGGGGTGATCTACGTTTCTCAGATGCTTCTCGATAGTACTTCGGTGGGATAATACTTCATGGCTACATCATCATCACCACACAACATTGAATAGGGGATAAATGCTTCACCAGCAGGAGGGTAATCCTTCCCCTGCGTACGGAAGTAATCAATGCCTCTGCTCCTTTCGGCGATACAGGTGAGTTACAAATATATACTGCTTGGCTTCACACATCGCTGTATAGGGATGCTGGACCCGATTTCCAGCTTACACACAGTACATCTGTACTTGGGTTTCGACCCTTGGTTTGATTGACAGGATTGGGCTTGAGGGATCGAGGCCTTGCTCGCAATGGAGAAACGGTAGAGTAGGTACATAGGGTTTTCCCCTCATAAACACAGATCACATCAGAATTGGGGCTTCGGCTTCTGGTGCGATCAACAGGATTGGGCATGATGCCTTGCTCGCTATGGACATATGGTAGACTAGGTAGATAGGGTTCTCCCCTCTTGGGACATGTATTGATTGATGAACAAATACAGATAGTGCTAGATACACAGTAGGACACAGACAATGGGTGGATAGGGTTTTCCCCCCATGGGACATGTATAGATCGATGAACAAATACACAGTACTTGATATACAGTAGGATATAGACACATATCGATGTATAGGGATGCTGGACCCGATTTCCAGCTGACACATATCACATCTTTGTATAGGGACACTGGACCCGATTTCCAGCAGGTGCAGCTCCCCACCAATAGATGGAGCCTTCAACGCTGGCGCCTACTTACCGCGGATGCTCTTATCACCTCGTTAAGTAGGTTTCCCGTATACGAAGTTGAAAAAAAAAAAAAAAAAAAAAAAAGGATGGGAAGGAGTAGCTCTCGCATCATATTTGTTATCTCGGTAAATAACTTTCTTGGTAACTAACTATCTCGGTAACTGTCTCTGTAACTATCTCAATAACTATCTCAGTAACTAACTACCTCAGTAACTACCTATCTCAGTAACTAACTATCTCGGTACCCCAGTAACTAACTATCTCGGTACCCCGGTAACTAACTATCTCGGTTTCAGCATGCTTGCCCGTCTGTTGATTTTCTGAGCATGCAAAGGGAAAAAAGAGAAAAGAGCCAACCACAATTCAAATGAAAATGAGTTCCAAATAGGCAAAAAAAAGTTAAAAAAACACATTGACTGAGGTCAGTCACGCACCAAGTTCGTTTCTGGATATTGAAGTCCAGAGATTTTGCCTCTCCAATAGTAGAATCCTGCAAATAGAGCGAGTACGGCTCCCATAGAAAGTATGTAATGAAAGTGTGCTGCTACATTAACGTCTTACTACGGTGTAGCAGTTTAACTCGTGCCTCAAAGGGCAATAAAAGAGGTGTGGAACCTTTCTTTTTTTTTTTTTTTTTTTCTGTTTTTTTGCATACTTCCGAGACTCCCATCCTACCACCCATCTCGATATATCTCCTGGCGAACCCCCACTCCTTTTCTATCTTACCTCATGCGAGGAACATCACTCTCTACTGGAGCAACCTGACCAGAGCGCGGACGCCGGCACTGATGCTGAATGAGCTCCCCCATTCAGACCCAGTTGAGGCACTAGCGCACAAGCCCCGTTATACGGGTACCTCGGGAGCTAGGCGCAAATGTCTCAACTCGTCCCGTGAGCAGTGAGGGCACCCATAGGCAGTGTCTAATGGTTGGCTAACCAAGGTCTAACCCATGAGCCCTTCTAAGCACCAACCTAGCACAGCTCGGTTCATATACGGCTACTGTTGGTTGTTGAATATGCTGGTTGTTATGTGAGCTAGTGTGATATCATAGTCTGCATGGATGTATGTGGTTGCTTTCTGCTACTACTGAGCCTTGCTTATGTCTGTTCACTAGGGAGATCGACCAGTGGCAATGGTGGAGACCTCAGCCCTCATCAACTACCTCCGACCAAGCTCTGATAACCCACCTCCCCAGAATGGGTCTACAGACATCGAGAGTAGGACACACCTCTTGATTCGACATTGGTTTCCCTACAAGGCACCCCTGCCCACCATAGGACTACCACAGTATCACCATACACCCAAACAGCCCCTTACCACTCTCCAGCCCGAGAGAGTAGCATCCATCCCACATCAACTCTCCTGCAGGAAAGGCACACGTCGCCACCCAAATCCGCCCAGAGGGTCATCCCTAGCTGATATGACGAACAGATATATAAACATGCTGAATAAGCATAGTATGAACTCTGGAGTTGAACCCGGGACCTCCAAGTTACAACATCAAAGCTCTACCCACTGAGCTATTGAGGTCATTAGTCCGTAAGGGCGCTATGCCAGCCTTGGGACAAGTACGTGGGGTGCAACCTACACCAACCAATTGTGCTTGGGGAAATTGTGGGCCGACAAAGTCGAACCCGCAACCTCCCCACTGCAACACCGGAGCTCTGCCCACTGAGCTACCACGCACTTGCTTACCAACTGGCCGTCTCGAAGGTAAGACGCCAAGCATGCCACAGGCACTATTGTGGGGGCAATGGGAGGTGAACCCACGACCTCCTGAGTGCCGCTTGAACACCTTACCAACTGAGCTACACCCAGTTGGTAGGTGTGGCACTTTCTGATAAGCACAAAAGTCATAACTACACGGGCGAGAGGACGGCGATGCCCTAGCTTGCTATGGCTTCTAGGTGCTGTGACGCTGTTTCGTTTTGCTAATCTATTTGAACTTTCTTCGCTACATACTTTCTGCCCTGTCGTTCACGGTGATAAGCTTGCGTGATGGTCAGACGATGTGCTGATCTGCTGCACTTATTACAAACAGGGGCGTGAAGTGGTGCGCAGAGGACCTGAGTTCAAAAAAGGGGGGAAAAAAAAGAAAAAAAACTTTTAAAAAAATGCCGCTATTTAAAATTTAAAAATTTAAAGCCTATTTTTGCTTTTTTGCGCATTCCAAACGGACGCCACGACAAAACTGCATTCAGTGCTTTTTTTTTTGCCTATTGGAAACTCGAACCTGGACAGAGAAGTAGTTGTTTCAAAAAAAACAAAAAGGATGGGAAGGAGTAGGTCTCGCATCACATTTGTTATCTCGGTAAATAACTTTCTCAGTTAACCCCAGTATCTAACACAAGGGATGCTGGGCGCGGTTCCCAGCACGTGCTGCTCCCCACAAATAGATTGGAACATGTTTGAAAAACAAACAAACAAACAAACAAACAAACTCCGTTTCAGCATGCTTGTCTGGTCTGTTAATTTTCCGGGCGTGCAAAAGCTTCCGGCCTTCTTCCATTTATGTTTTTATTTTTATTTATTTTTTTAATCACGACCAGCCTTAGAAATTACAATTTACCTGAGGGACACTGGACCCGATTCCCGGCACATAATAAAATGCTGTTAAAAAAATAAAAATAAAATTAAAAAAAAACGAAAAAAAAGAAAGGACCAGCCTACCTGAGATTCTGTTTCCTTGCCAGATGAAGAGTTCACGACGAAAGGAGGGTCTAAGTTCATTGCATTTTGACCGGTCACCCCGGGGTGATATAATCTTAAACTGCTGCACCACAAAAACCAAACCTTAACACAACACGGGAGAAGAAAAACACACACAGCAATGCCGGCAGAAGTCTCAAGTCAATAGAAAACGAGCTAGAACTTAGAAATACTTTTTCCTTTTTTGTAAATTTCGGTAGGTAATCCATGGGGACGGGGGGGGGGGGGGGGGGGAACGTTCCACTGCTGCACCACAAAAGCAAAACCTTAACACATAAAAAAACCCTCACACAACACCAGCAGAAGCCTCAAGTCGATAGAAAAAGAGCTAGAAGTCAGAAAGTTGCAATGACCCCACACTTGACACACGGCGTCACACCCACAAGTCGCTTTTCATCGCATCCGACACCTTGCAAACAGGAGAGCACAGTGACACAAGATGAAAACACTTTGGAGATTGCTCGAAGTCCAAGTTGTATACGACGTCTCACGTATGCACATGCTTGCGGCTATGGCTCTCTCTCTCTCTCTCTCTCTCTCTCTCTCTCTCTCTCTCTCTCTCTCTCTCTCTCTCTCTCTCTCTCTCTCTCTCTCTCTCTCTCTNTCTCTCTCTCTCTCTCTCTCTCTCTCTCTCTCTCTCTCTCTCTCTCTCTCTCTCTCTCTCTCTCTCTCTCTCTCTCTCTCTCTCTCCTGCTACTCTACTCTTCTCTCACAGGCCTTGCTCACAAGCTCTGAACTTTTATTATTATTATTATTATTTTTTTTTTTAAAACACCTGCAGAAACAGATAGGACTGATGATACGAGCATGCACTCCTGCCTGTCTTGCAGGGGGAGCTACACCTGCTGGAAAGCAGGTCCAGCGTCCCCTGAGATACAATGTTGAGATGATAGAACAGCACATGCTGGGGACCGGGCCCAGCGACCATGAATGGGGGCAGTGGCGCCTCTTCAGTCCTTACTGGCCTGCCAGATCAATCTGAATGTCTTCCCTCAACCTCACTCTCTCTTGCTATCACCTATGGTGCCGGGTGCTGTCGACTATACTACTCTGTCTCTCAGCCAAACTTGCTGCTTCCTGCACAAGAGCGCAACAGCTCTTCCGCGTTAGGCACAAATGGAAATTGTGTTGACGCTCTTCTGATGCCAACCTTATGTACTTGCTACTGCAGGCCACTGTCTGTTTCCGACGCTTCCAGAATGTTCACGGACTTTCCTGGGACTGAGCTGCTTCTCGGACTGACAGACTGACACTTTCCGGCAAATAACGGACTGGCCGTACCGAAGTGCTACAGTGCTACCCTACCCGCCTACTTCCGACTACCTGCCAAGCTGTGGACGGGCCTAGGACTCCTACTGCATGGGGCTATGTTACATGGAGTCGTGGTACTGGGACTTCTGAGATGCCTGGAATCATTTAACTTGCGCCGGTCTAATTATGAGGGCCTCAGAGAAAGCTACGCGCTTAGCGGCCTGCAATGTGAATCACCCCTCTTGGCTTGCTCATAGTGCGAGACTGCTTGGTGCTGTGTCACTTAACTGCTCCTTTGGGAACCATCTATCCTCTTCCGGGTCTTGGTACTGCCACTGTACTTTGTACTGTTGTCGAGGCCATCCTCTTCTTCCTGCTCTGAGTGTTTGCTGATCAACTATCTGATCAATATCATAGCTTCCATCTATATAACGTGGAATCATGGATCTGTACGAGGGGGAGGATTTGTCTGAGTTCATAGGCAGTAGTTTAGAGAGGCATGGAATACAGGGTAAGTCCGCAGGTGTGGACGGACATTAAGGGCTGTCTGCATCTCCTATCACATCTAGGATCACTAACACTGGAGGCGGTGCTAAAAAAAAAAAAAAAAAAAAAGGGACTTCCCGTGGTAATACACATGCAGGTGAAACAGTTTTCACCTTTGGCAGTAGCCGATGCAGATCCCAGGGGTCGATCCCTTGACCTCAGCTTACCTGTGTACAGTATCTGCACA